CCGTGCACGAGAGATGAAGGTCTTCGATCAGATCCGGGTGAAAACCTGCTATTGGCTATTGCCAAGGCCGGCGATGGCGACGCTGTCTGCGTCGTTCCCTTCCTGAAGGCATCGTCGTGGAGATGTTCAAGGCCACTCTCTGCTACCTCCGGGGGAAACCCTAGATCAGTAGATTGGATGGCGGCGGCTCTCTGGTGTCGTCTTCCCCCCTGGGGGCGTCATTCTTGGAGGTGCACACGGGCTCGAGGGACTAGAGGACGGCGACTTTGGTGGAGCGGTGCTTCATCTTTCACATTGATGATGGCGGATCTCGGCGGCATGGTGCTGTGGAGACTCGGCGTCTGATGCGCAGAGATGGACTCGTGCAGGAGGAGGAAGCTGTCTGGCGTCATGGGGACGTCGATGGCAGACTGGCCAGACAAGGTAGAAGCCTCAATTTGATCTGAAGACGGACCTGTGGAAGATGGCAGCGACGACACACGAGTGCGTCTGACCGGATGGCACCCCAGACCCAGTATGTGGCTCGGCTGGGGTTACCGAATGAGTTTCGGCTTCCGGCTTTTGATGTTAGGCTTAGGTGAGTGGTTTGGGTAGTGGCCCAGCTAGCACCCCCTCATCATATTGGATAGGAGTAGCGGCACATGTTGCCAAGATGATGGATTCAGACACATTGTTGTAATACTTTGTATGGTTATCGAGAATAATCAATAAAGTGGCCGTATGCATCTCCCAGATGCAGAGGCCGGGGGTCATCCTCCTTTTCTAAAAAAAAGATACAGATGTATCTAGACTTATTTTAGTGATAGATATATCCGTTTCTAGACAAATTTAAGACAAGTAATTCGGAACGGAGGGAGTAGTTGCTTGCTTGATCACCTCTCTGAGTCTGAGGCAGCTTCGTATTGTTCCTCTTCATCCGATGCTACTTGCAGCATCAAGGGGGTCTTCGACCGCTACCAGCAGGCCACCGGGACCAGCCTGTGGACCGAGCAGTATGAGGTTGGTTGCTGCTTCTCTATCTTGACTCCATCCCATCCTTTTCTTTAGCTGTAACACTTACTCCGTTCTTCGATTTGGCTGATTTTTCTCGGTTTGAAATCATCGCAGAATATGCAGCGCACCCTGAGCCAGCTCAAGGACATCAACCGGAACCTGCGCACCGAGATCAGGTCAATCACTTTCCTTAATTTATTTCTGAACCATTCTTGATTCTTTCATGGGGAATCTCCAGCAAGCTGGCTAGACGGGTTTGATGTCGAGATCGACTTGAATTAACATGCTGCTTGTTCGTATATGGATCGCAGGCAAAGGATGGGTGAGGATCTGGACGCGCTGGAGTTCCAGGAGCTGCGCGGGCTCGAGCAAAATGTCGGCGCCGCTCTCGAGGTGGTTCGCCAGAGGAAGGTACAAACCCGATCGTGCTCATTAACTGATTCAGGCCTCGACAACTCTTTGGTGTATCTATATTCGAGTTCTCCATCTCTGACAGTAGAGACTTAAGAAGTGATTGATTGATTTATAGTTCTGAAGAATTCGTTGAGGTTTTCTTGTTTAATTTCATCTCATGTACATGCATGTATTGCTTCCTGCTTTAACAACATAACAGCTTAGCTAATCTTCTGCTTTCTGTTATTTTTTCGTTTTCATCAAGCAGTATCATGTGATCACCAGGCAGACTGAAACCTACAAGAAGAAGGTGAGAACTTTTCTAAACAGTTCTTCTCTATGGATTGGACTAGTTTATTTCAGGAATTGCCCAATTTTGTGTACATAGCCGTTTTGGTGCCAGAAAAGTAGATCTTTATTCCCCCAATTCGTTTACCTTGCCTTGTGTCAGCAGACACTTGTTACAGTTTCTTTGTTTGGTTAGTTGAACTTAGTTCTCCATGTCACTGTTCAAAAACCATGTTTTCACCAGATCTTTGTATTGTGTCATCATTTGGTCACATTGTATATAGTCTGTGTAGATATGTATGACCATTAACTGCACTTCATGAGCTGCATCATGCATGCATGGAGAACAGGATGAGTTTTTCCCGAAAATTTCATTCTGAACGCATCTTTTTGCTTGAAAGGTTTCTCAATGACAATGCAGTTAGACAAGCAACAAAAGAGCATGTCAACACGTGTGTATTTGGCATTTGTGCCATTTGCAAGAGTGTAGCAAGTCTATTTATATGTAGAATCTGGCTTTTGTCATTCGGTGCCTCCTGGTGTACAATCTGACTCCGAAGCTTGTTGCATTCGTGTACTAATAATACATGCTTTTGCTCTTGAAATCCATATGTGCAGGTGAAGCACTCCGAGGAGGTGTACAAGAAACTGAAGCAGGAGCTGGTGAGCTCTCTCGCTCCCTAGCTATCTCTATAGCAACGATCATGCATGAATCCGAGCTGACGATCATGTGTACCATGTATGCAGAGCATGCGCGAGGACCCGGCGTTCGGGTCGTTCATGGACAACCCGGCGTTCGGGTTCATGGACAACCCGGTGATGGGCGGGTGGGACGGCGTGGCGGCGGTGGAGATGGGCGGCGACGGCTCGGAGGCGGACATGTACGCCTTCCACGCGGTGTCCAGCCAGCTCGATCTGCACGGCATGGCCTACGGCAGCTCCCACTGCCCGCTCCAGTCGCTCCTGGCTTATATATCAAGTGATCGATCAAGTAATAACTACTACACCAAAAGAAAAATCTCTGTGTGAGTTACATGTGTGTTTCGAGTTTTGGTTTGAAAATTTTGGAGATTGTAGAAACATGTTGTGTGAACATTGAAAAAAATTCAGTCCAGATTTTTCTGGAACACTGAAATTTGGTTTTTGAATGTTGGGAGCATGTGAGCATTTATGGTACGGTGTGGGAATATGCAAGACAGGCACGGATTAGCAATTTTATGGAGTAGTCAGTCAGACGTGCATGCATGCTCTTGGTCGTGGTAGCGTCGCACGGTCAAATCGAAACTTGCTCTTGCCATGCCTGCTCTTCCCCGGTTGGTGCGACAACATCAACACGGAGGCCAAGGCAGCAATGCAAGTCCATTGTCGACACATTACAACTCGTTCTCTCTCTCTCTCTCTCTCTCTCTCTCTCTCTCTCTCTCTCTCTCTCTCTCTCTCTCTCTCAATTTCCATGCTATCTGTCTAGGTCTATAGCTTGCACAATCTGTGATGTGTTCGTACAAATATAGCGTGTTGTCTTGTGCTTGTGTTTTTCGTGAGAGAGGACGTACGGTGTCGTCTTGTTGAGCTCTAGCCCTCGGCAGGTCCGTGGACCGGAAGTAGAAAAGACTCCGGTGCTTGCTTCTCTATTTTGCATCGCCGGCATTACCATAAGATGAGCATGCACCACCAGCTCCATTTCTGTGGTAGCCATCAAAGGAGGCAACCAAAGGAGGCATGTCAAACAGTTGCCTCTTCCGTGAAAGACCACGAAACCCCAAAAGTTGGCACGTATACCATGCTAGCTGATGGGCCAGCCATGCATGCATCCAGCTGCCAGAGCTTGAACCAACGGCGGCATCTCCTGTGCAGGAGCCCGGCCGCATGCATGCTTGAACCAACGGAGTATCTGGTAGTACTACGTAGAAGCCGTGTGAGCCAGTCTGTACTACTAGCCATCAAGGGAGGCAAGCAAGCAAGAGCGTAGGTCAAACATTTGCCTCTTATATGAAAATGAAAAACCTCTGAAAAGTTGACATGCAGCTGGTCTGGCTCTGGTCCATAGCCTGCAGCAGCTGTTCAAGCAGCCTTGCAACATCACCCGTGCCGCGGCCAGCATCGCGTATTTGTCTTTCTGCACGGACTTGCAGTGTATATCTGCGTCTGTCGTGCATGCATGCATGGTCTACTCTCTCTTGCAGTTTCCACGATGGTCGTTCTTGTAACAGTTGCCTGTCAATTTCTAACCAATAATGATGTCGTTCAGGGTTACAAAATAAACTACGTAGTGCTGGTGTTAAGACGGCTGTACAAATGTGCACTTAGCTTATGTCTAAAACCATCGTATTATTCCATGTGATAGCATGGGCACTTTTAGGAAAAAGTAGAAGCTGCTGGGGAGTCTGTACAAGCAATAAAGCTTTCTTAATTTTGCCCAATTTGTTGCCATAGCTAGCCCGTCCTGTGTGCTCCATCTTCATTAACTCTCACCACCACCTGAACAGAGAACATTCATCCTGTAGGCGTGGTATAAATGAAGTAGAGTGTACTGGTAGAGCAAATGATAAACCTTCAATAAATGAAGTACTACAAGCTGCATGCGAAGCATGGGTACAAACAAATGCACATTAAATGAACGGCGCGCGAGTTGCCTAGGACCGTTGCAAGTTCACCCTCACAGCACGACGAGGTGACGCTCACAGACTCTGTCATTCAAATGGGGCTCAAGGCCGCCAGGTCTCTCCCTCTCCATTCAGCTCGTGCATCTTGTGTTGCAACGAGAGGAGTGGGTTGCGACGTGTGACACCGCATTACCTTATCCGTGACACGTCGATCGGATCGGCAAGGGAAGGGAAGGCTACACCTACGACTACGAGACCAGCAGGCAGGCAGAGAGATGGCTACCATGCTGGACGGCCACTCGGTCTCGATCCGTCGGGTTGTTCGTTCGGTCACGAGGAGCGTCCAATCAGTCTCGCTCCATCAGGTCGTCTCGCCCGGTTTCCTAGTAAAATCGAACACCAGAGGCCACCATGTTGCGTCTACAGGCTGGTCGCAGCACTCAACCAGCAAGCGCTCCACTAGTTGTCAAGTCATCAAGTGACTTGCTGATCCACCCTAGCCGGAGATTCAAAGCCATCCATGCTACCGCTCTCGTGCAGCAACACACACCTGCAAGAGAGGAGACCAACCAACACGCACGCCCGTTTTTTTTCTTTTGTCTTTTCACACTTTTTTTTGAAAAGAAAGGGGTTACCCTCGCCCCAACTTTTATTAAAGCCAAGGCAACCACGACATGACCGGACTGTTAAACAGCTCTCAACGACAACCACAGTAGCTGCCACAGAACACACGCGCAAGGGTTTAAACTACTGCCCTATTACATCTCTCACAGAGAGTGTTTCCAGAAAGGTAGGTAGAGGACGACTGGAGGAGCGGTACAAGAACAATATGATAATACCCCCCCCCCCTAAAACTCCATTACCCTGGCTACGTTCAGCTAGTCCAGGCGATTCTAAGCAGTTCCCCTCTTCGCCGATCCAAAAGTCTTAAACACTAGAGAAATAGAGCACCCTGGACCTCTGAACACAAGATTTTCCACTGCCTGATAGTTGCCCCCATCCGATCCAACACACAGCATATACTTCGTCATCTTCTTCCTTGAAAGACAAAGTCATCTTCTTCCTTGAAAGACAAAGTCATCTTCTTCCTTGAAAGACAAAGTCATTACGCAAACGTCATAAGCACCACAAGGTAGCAGGGGTAGCAATGTTAATAGCTTCACATTGTTTCTTCTTCTTCCAGAAGGAAGATAACGATGTAAAAGAGGCATGCGGGGTTATATTAAAAGCTTCAACAATCACAACCCAAATTTCACTCGCAACAATGCATTCAAATAGAAGTGTTGAATTGATTCCGGTTTAGCACAAAAGACACAGGTCATATCTTCAACATGCCTTCTCTTTGCAAGATTATCTTTAGTTAAGCTTTTGTTATTGTACATCAGCCACAGGAAAACGTGAATATTAGGGGGAACTTTTATCTTCCATATGAAATCTTTAATATCAGAGAAAATCCCGCCAAAGTTAATCATCTTATAAAAGGATTTAACAGACCAGAAGACTCCAAGCTCCAAATGGGGCTATCTGTTTGGGAGGACAATTTAGTTTTTTAACCAGATCTACTAATTAAAAGGTTCCATTTATATATAATGGACTCATCCACACATCTCCTAAAAGTGAGTCGAAGCTGCTCACCATCCCAGACTTGGGCAAGAGTGGCATCTTGCTGTTGGGCAAGAGTGAAATCATGTCAATAAACCATTTAGGGAAATTCATCATAGCCATGAGATAGGAGGGAATACTAGAATTGCAAGTAGTTTATAAGATTGGCTTGCCTCTATAAGACAAGAGTTTGCCTAACCAACTAGCAATGTTTCCAGTAATCCTGTCAATAATAGGTTGTGGGTCCTCCCTCCTGAGCTTTTTAAAATGCAGGCGGACCCCAAGATATTTGAAAGGAAATTCACCAAATTGACAGCAAAAAATCTGGGAAAATTCCTTGGACATTGCATCAGAAACATGAATACTATGCAAATCACTTTTGTGAAAATTGATCTTTAAGCCAGAAAGCTTTTCAAAGCAGGTCAAAATCCACAAGTTTTTGGCATATTCCAGGGAATCTTGGATAAAAAGAATGGTATCATCTGCATATTGTACTCTAACCCCCCCCCCCACCAGGAATGGCATGGAGGAGGAGCCCACCAATTAATCCATGATTGACAACTTTAACTAGCATATTAGAAAAGACATCTGAAAGGATCGATATGGTTGACTAGAGGGGGGGGGGTGAATAGGCAACTAACAATTTTTAGACTTTTCTTTAACAATTTAAACCTTGCAATGAAATAGGTTGTCTAGATGTGCAACTACGTGGACAACCTATATGATGCAAAGACAATAAGCACACAAGCAAGCAATAGATACAACTCAAGTAAGCTTGCAAAAGTAAAGGGACAAGATAACCAAGAGTGGAGCCGGTGGAGACGAGGATGTGTTACCGAAGTTCCTTCCTTTTAAGGGGAAGTACGTCTCCGTTAGAGCGGTGTGGAGGCACAATGCTCCCCAAGAAGCCACTAGGGCCACCGTAATCTCCTCACGCCCTCACACAATGCGAGATGCCGTGATTCCACTATTGGAGCCCTTGAAGGCGGCAACCGGACCTTTACAAACAAGATTGGGGCCATCTCCACAACACTTGGAGGCTCCCAACAACACCATGAAGCTTCACCACAATGGAGTATGGCTTCGAGGTGACCTCAACCGTCTAGGGTGCTCAACACCCAAGAGTAACAAGATCCGCTAGGGATAAGTGGGGGGAATCAAATTTCTCTTGGTGGAAGTGTAGATCTGGGTCTTCTCAACCAATCCCGAGCAAATCAACAAGTTTGATTGGCTAGGGAGAGAGATCGGGCGAAAATGGAGCTTGAGCAACAATGGAGCTTTGGGGGAAAGAGGTAGGTCAACTTTGGGGAAGAAGACCCCTTTATATAGTAGGGGGAACAATCCAACTGTTATCCCACTAAGCAGCCCCGCACAGAGCGGTACTACCGCTAGGGAAGGGCGGTACTACCGCTCCGGGTGGTACTACCGCTCAACCCAGCGGTACTGCCGCGCTGACAGAGGCCTGACCCCAGGGCGGTACTACCGTGGGGGTAGGTGCGGTACTACCGCCACAACTACCGCCCTTAGAACCGCAAAACCCGACACGAAAAAACATCGTTCTCGAATCGAGGCGGCAGTAGCCCGGAAGCACTGCGGTACTACGACCGAAGGCCCCAAGTGGTACTACCGTTCGGAGAGCGGTACTACCGCTTGGAGCGGTACTACCGCTCTGAGAGTGGTACTACCGCTGGGGAGCTTCGGCGGTACTACCGCTGTGGGTCGCGGTACTACCGCTGGGGCAGAGCAAACCATACTAAGGGGAAAACGGCAGCTCCAAT